GCCGTTGCCATGGAAACCATGGTAACGTCAGAGCAAACATTACAATAAACAATAAAATCTAGATACAATATTTTAAAATTAATAATAGTAAATTTAAGGAACATAGCAGTCAGGAGGTCTCCGCACGTGTGAAGAGCTCCTAGTATTCTAAACATAATATTTACATTTAAATTGTATCACAACGTCTCGTGTTCCATACGTTTTTATCAACCAAATTCAAGTACCGTCGGCGGGCCTGATGGACTGATGTCGCGGGCCGCATCCGGCCCGCGGGCCGTAGTTTGATGACCACTGCTCTAGATAATACATAACTCAAAATAATGAATTGCATAATTGTGGGGAATATTAAAAAGAAAATGGTATTTTTACATGCCTCCACGAAAAAAACATTTGTACAACCCATTAGCTGCAAAATTTGAGCACCATTGTTTCAAGGCAAATACACGAGACCAGTTTCAGCATACATTGTCTCGTCAAACTATTTAAGCTATTTAAACTATTTAATTTGACCAGCTAAGGCCTACTGAGCTATATAGCGCTTTTTCAGAAGCAACCTTGCCACAAAAGATTGCTCATCGAAGTGGCTTATCAGATGGAAATGTATACCAGCCAAATACTCTCAACGTATGTTTCTAAATATGGAGGGCAAAGCCGGAGGACTTGCGATCACGGGGAGAACATGCAAACTTCAAATATACAGGCGTCAGGCGAGGAAGCTAACATATCTCCACTGCGAGATGTTAGGCTTGCTTGAATCAATGAACTGCCAATCTTACAGGCAAGCACCTTCTATGCTATGGGATCCTAGTTCCACACATTTATATCATGTGTAACTTTAAATAATCAGTGTTGTTTTGGAGAATTTAAAGATATAAATAAGCAGACAACATGTCTCCTTAACATATCCATCTCCACAAAAAATATATTTGTTACGCGACCCATCAGTTGCACGACCTTACACATTGACTTAGACATTGCTCATTAATGTTATTTATATTCTCCACAACGATGTTATTCATTATTCTGAGCTATGTGTCATCTAGTGCTTTGAGTACTTTGTATAAAGGCGTTTTATAAATGTAATTTATTATTACTATTGAGAACAATTTTTTTATTTGTTATTTATCTTGCTCTCTATAATACATCTCACTAAATACTTTTTTGGTTAACTGGCTTGTGTTCCACATTCAGTAATTATCGCATCCTCTCCCGTTGCAGGGTGAGCCAGTACAGCTCCGAAAACTACATGACCAGCGAGAACCTCTCGATCTGCTTTTGGCCCACGCTCATGCGGCCAGACTTCCAAACGGTGGATGCCCTCACGGCCACCAGAGTCAACAAGCTCATCATCGAGACCTTCATCCACCAGTGCCCCTTCTTTTTCTACAACCAGGACGAAGTGGTGGATGGGCCCATGTCTGCTCCCGGCTCGCCGGCCGTCGTGGCCTCGGCCCATCCCGCGGGAAGCACCGAATCGCACTCCGAGCCTCCAGACGAATGAGCCGGTGGCGTTAACGTGTGTAGCAGGGTCGTTCCCCATCCACCCCCCCCCCCCCCCGCCCCTTTTAGCTGGGGAGAGAGAGGCGGCACGCCAGCTCGGAGTTCCCCACACGACGCTGCAACTCTTCTCTCTGTCTGCTGCTTCCCTAGTTGCTTAAAGGCCTTGTGGAGTGAGGCGGCCAGTTTTGTTTGCTTTGATCTTGTCTTGGCGTTATCACATTGCCTCTCTCGAAAAGGTGTGGCCACTAGCTTCGTTGCAGTCGGGCACGAGCTGCACTGTGCAGGCCGTTGCCAATGAGGTTGCATGAAAAAACACACCGAGGTGCCCGGTCTTGCACAGTGCCGCAACTGAAGTTGTAGATAAGAGTAACACAGGCTTACAATAGCTGCTGTATATTAAACTTACAGTATAATCCAGGAACAGCAAAATGACGTCCGTTCTCAACAATATCGTACGATGTAGACATTCCCTTAAGATACAAGTTGAAATTGAATTGCCATTAAGTACATAGGATAATGCTGTTTTGTGTGCGTGTTGACTGATTTAAGTATTTTCAATATGTTTACCAAGGTCCTGGATAGATTTGTTGTCGTCTTGGAACAACTTTAGGAAGCGTGGACTGTGTGTTTTCAAGGATTGTTGTAAGTCTGGCGGTATGTGCGTTTCCTTTAATAAGAAAACAGCAGGGTTGGCCATAATGACTGCCCGTTTCGCTTGTTCTGCTGCCTTTAACATCTTAACCTGGTACATGTATATGCTGTCAGGTGAATAAGAAATTTTGCACTGCTTCGCAGAAATTGTGGCTATGTAGGTTCCTTATTTTGTTTTTCTAAAGGATATCTTCGGAAGTTGTCAGTGCTGCATGTTTTTGATGAACGGTTTGAAAAATAATCATGTCGGCATCTGTTTGCAAAGTGATTTAACATCGAAAAAATATGATCAGTATTGTATTTCAAGCAGACTTGAAGAGAACAAACATTGGAAATAGTCAAATGTGGGCAGTTATGACACGTGGTTGATGTTAAACCAGTAAGCCTTGTAAACTTTGAAGTGTTAAAGCAGCACAAAAACGAATTGGTTGCCCTTTGCAGGGGAACGCTGCATAAAGCAATCGGGGTTGTAGGCTTCATTTTGTCTTTAAGGGCACATTTGAATATTGACAACTGTTTTGTCTAAGACGTTGCATAATGTTCATTGCATGAACGTATTTGGAAAAAAAGCACTCTTTTTGGAACGCCATTCCACACTAGCAGCATTATATGCTAATTGTATTAAAGTTACATTTTGTACACTAACAGTGCGATTTGGAATTATGGTAATCTTAAACTAATTCTCTCCCCCCCTTTAAAAGTACTTGCAAACATTTGTAAATATAAGTTGAACAAAACTGGACTAATCTTGACCAAACTCCAGCTTGCGTTTTCTTAATCCCATGCATTGACAACACGTGTCGGGTGCCATTTTTTTTGTTAAATTTAATTTCACTCGAAGTTAGTTAATTTTGTGTACTTTTTTTTTTAACATCCCAAAGCGTCTTTGTGTTTTAGTGAACAAACGGTCACGTTACATTTCAGAAGGCTTCTCCACAAAGTAGGAAGTATGCAGCAAGTGTGTGGGAAGTCAACTTTGTAAAGGCCCGCCCGCTACCTCTTGGAATCGGAAGGAAGGGCCAGCCACGGTGAAGAGTGGGGCCTTCTAGAACCTGAGGACGCGGAGCCCACCCTCACTCTTCCATGGAAGTTTGCACGTTGATAAAAAAGGCTAATGCATAGTTAAACTTATTTTTGAAGTAGCACTTTGTTGTTTCAGTTGTGGCAGTCGACAACTTTGAACGCATGTAACCCTAAAGAAAATGTCAAGCACATCATGAAGTACTCGCACATATCAGTAAAGTAAAACGTACAAAGCAAAAACAAATATTACTCCACATTACACTGACAGTTGTGCTAGTAGGCCCTCACTTAAAGTGTGCATGCCTTAACAGTAAAAACAAAACTAATAAGCGTAATTTATGGTTCAAAAATACTGTTTAAACTCTGCGCCAGTTTATGTAACCTTGGACTGACGATTAGATTCACGGCTCTTTATTCAAGTGGACTGGTAATATGTCTTAAGACAATAACCTCGGAATATGTAATGCTGCTTTACAGCCTTGTCTTTAATGAAGGTAACGCCTCTTGATTAACCGTGATTCCAAGAGGATGGCAATGATTTGTTTTATTTCCAAGGTTGCATTTTTGGCACGAACACAGTCCATACAGGCAAATGCTATTTATTTCACACCCAACTTTCACTGCCAGGTTTTTATTCTGTTGGTGATAAAAGGGGAAAGGTTTGTCCCCAAATTATTATTTTCCATACATGCGTGGTGTAATTATTTTATACTGCCATTATGATACACGAGTCGTTTGAGAAATCCGTGTACGGGTTTCATGTGGACTTGAAACCTGAGATTCGATAAATTGGCCACTATGAATCCAACTTTGCTGCTCGAGTACACAGTACACGTGTGATTTGCGCTGCATGCCACATTAGTTTGAGACCTTCACGGTGTAAGCCAAGTTACTGCTACAAAAGTGTGCATTTGGTACCAGTTCCGAAACAACATTTTTTTTACCAGTATTAAATAATGCGGCGTAATTTATTGCATTTAATCCTCTAGGAATTGTGTACATATTGTACAAAAAAATCTCTGGAGCATGTTCAAAAATGCTTTTGTATTCGGTGTACATTTCTTGAAATCAATGGCTACAAAATGTCTTAAGTACCCTCTTGTCAGATGTAGTCTTGCTTATTTGCACAATAATTTGTTATTTAGTTTGACTTAGTGATGCTTATTAGTGCCTGTAAAACCTAACCCTTAATTTATAGGAAGAGTTTTCCTGTGGCCAAAATGAAATATTGTTGACTCGAGACGATAGTGAGCAGTAGACTTGGGACATGCTTTGTTTTGGATGCTGTATTTTGTACACTGTTTACAGAAATCGTTTTTGAAGCGTCATGTTCGATTTTTTTGTACAACCTTGTCCATGCACAATTCTACGTTTTCTCTTTCTCTCGCTCATTGTACCTTAAAGTGTGTCGTACTCGTGTCGTTGAAATACACTCCTGCGAAACGTGTCCCACTCCTATGTATTTGCCTGCATGGACTCATTCTGAACTGTCGCAACCAAGGTGGGAAATCTGCCAATCTGCCAATCGCTGCAACATGTCCAAGGCATTGCTGGCGTGGGAAAGGATTGATCTGCTTGCCTCGACGCAACTGCTCTCTTACCCTGTGTTCATGTCACCTATTCTAACCACTACACCTATTCTGTGTAGAAATTGAGAACTTGTTAATTGTTGAATTTCGCAATGTATAATATTAAATGAATAAATTTTACTGTCTTGGATTATGCTGTGCCGTTTTTTTTGACGGTTAAATATTTGACTCGAATTACAGTAAATGGTGATCTTCCTAATGGCGGTGCGGAAATGGACTGCATCCCAAAGGATGGCTACGGAGGAGTTCGAGCGATGAGATTAGTTTGTGTGCAGTGTCAGGTGGTTTATTGCATCATATGATTTTTACGGGTGGAGCGGGCTCAGAAAGGCCTTAAATCCGCAATGATTTGACCCCGACTGATGATGAATTGTGCGCGATTGATGGAAATTATTTCACCAGAAGTGATTTGCCACGCCTTCATTCTCTGCTGCCCCCGTAATCTGGAACTCCCTCAGCCGTACGTGCTGTCGATTCCCTCTTCCCCCTGTTCAAGTCCATAGTCAATACCTCTACATCTTAGCCTATGACTGCCTGCCTCCACAAAACACGCGTGCCCACCGCATCCGCACAGCGCCGTGCAGACGCGGTCGCAATTCGACACCACACAAAATCCATTTTGTCATTGCGTTTAAATGTCCGCTACAGTCGTGACCTTGCGATACCCCGTTTCTTATCCGCGTGCGCCCTCTGCAGACCGTTTTGTGAAACCACATACACGCCTCATGTGACAACACTTGAACGCGTCTCTCTGCAACTCGTCACCTCCTCCACAGTGGCCGCATTCGCCCATTGCGTAATATGAAATAGACCGCACCGCGTGCCCGCCTGTGCGTTGCGAATCACTTGAGCAAGTTGTCCATCCCGCACTGTGTATCCGTCGGTGAAATAAACCAACACCACCGCCGTGGGTAGGTCGGCGTGGCGGTCGCCCTCTGCTGCCATCATCTGACCGCTGCTGCATCCCTCCCGATGTCCCCCTCACTCATTAAGCAAGTATATCACGTCCCCATTGCCCCGGCAACCAGCAGGCATCCCAGGATCCTCGGCCAGGGCTGCCCGGGATTGGCTGCCGAGCGGTGTCAGGGAGAGGGGAAGGGCAGGGCACCGACATCATCAGCAGTAGCAGCCAGGAGCAAAATCAGAGGCAGCATCAATCTGCAGCAGCTTCACAGGCACAGTGACATCAGCAAGCAAGCAGCAGCAGCATCGTCGTCATCATCAGATGCAGCAGACGGCAGCAGCATCTCAGGCAGCAGTGACATCAGCCGCAGCAGCATTACCGTTATCATCATAAGCAGCAGTACCAGCAGCATCTTAAGAGGCAGAATCAGCATCAGCGGCAACAGCATCAGCAGCATCACTGGCGGGCGTGGCTGGAACGAGGGAGGAGGAAGATCGGGGAAGAGAGAGAAAAAGAGGATTCTTGATGCCGGACTAGTAAGACGCCGCCTCTCTCTTCACTCCTCGGCCATGATACTGGGCATGTATTCGGATTTGTATTCATTTTCAAATGTAGGCCTCGGTTGTTTTTGTTTGCGTGTTTTAATGTGACGGCTCGGATGATGAGCGCGCCCATCTGTGACGAGCCCAGAGGCGGCTACAGAGGCGAGGCGACGCCAGTCTGGAAAATGCAATTGGCTATTTCGGAATTTGTGAGAAACCTTTCACTCATAGGCCTTCATCCAGCAGTGGATTGACGAACCATAACTGCTCACAATAATAATTAATTATTATGTCGATATCGCTTAAACGTTAACGATTTAATAATGTACATCGTGCCAACACGACATTCCGTGTTTATTTCGTTTAAATTATCAGCGAGAAACAAGCGCGTATGTGTGTGTGTGTAAATAATGATGTTATTGTGTCTGTGTGTGCCTCCATGTGCTGTGGAGGAGGGACATTGGGCGTAACGTTCACTGGTATCGGGTTATTTTAAAAAAATCCTTTCAGGGCGACAGTGTTATTGATTAATGTGTTAAGCCGTTGCTGTTAATTTTGCGTGTGCACTATTGCCAAACGTAGCAGTAAAAAAAATCAACTCATGCCGTGCCTGCTTGGTTGCTGTTGTTGTTGTTGATGATTTTGCTGCCTGCTAACACAATATGACGACACACACAAATGTTTCACCGTTATCTCAACGTCGTCAATACCGACTGACAAATGTGCGTATCGGTGTTGGCACGGGCACGCGGGCCAGCCCGAGCGAACGCCCCGTTGCTACGAGTCGAGCAACGGGGCCGATGCGTGGCCCCTTCCCTGCTGGACGGGGGGTGGCCCATCGTGGGGCCACGAGGGCCGAGGTCTGGGGGTGGCCCTCGTCCGCGTGGGCCAACGAGGGCGCTCGCCTAGGGCGGTGGGGTGGTGTGGGCGCGCGCGTCAAATGCGAGTCGGGGAGGGGGGGAATTTAAAATGTCAAGAACGAAGATGACATTATTTCAATTCCCGCGCGCGTACGGAGGGAAATACGACTTATAATTAATTTCTCAACATTTCTGAGAATGTATTGGACGGACGGACAACCGGAATAATTAAGACTCTGGGTTTTTTTTTAAACAGCTTATTTTTATTTGAACGGCAAAACAGGGGGGCAAAATTTTGCCCAGTTTTCCAAAAACCTCCGCCTAGATCTTTGCCCTTGGAGTTTGGGGGCTGTGGGGGCGCCGATTGCACGGCTCTCCTTTGGGGGTTGCTGGCAAGGTGTCTGGTGTGTCATGATCTCAGCCAGGGAGCTTCCAATCAACAAATGTACGGCAAGGGCGGGGCCCTTCACTCGAAAGGCCTGTACAGTTAATGTGTCTCTCATTCTCTCTATCTCTCCCTGCATGCTCAATCCACTGCTGGATGGTGGCCTCCCCCGCAAAGTCGTCACGCAGTGCGCAAAGCAAAGTCTCGTACATTTATTTTTAGCCTTTAATCGAAATGGGTTTATATTCTTGGTTCTTTCGGTAAAGTCACGTTGAAGGGAAACAATAAAATAATAATAATATATATAAAACAATACAATTCTCACGACGTTTCGACTGAGAATTTTATTGTATTATATGTATTTTATTATTTTATTGTTTACCTTCAACGTGACTTTACCGAAAGAACCAAGAATATGAATCACTGCAATCACGAAAGCTTTAAAGTCAAAACGAAATGGGTTCATTTGGAAATGCACCTTTCATTCTGGAAGGCTGCGTCTGCCGCTCAATAGCTGATATTAGGTAACTATTCACGTGCCCATTTTCAAGGTTGGTCATCAGAAGAAATGACCTACAGTTGAATCCTCACCAGCTCTGCCCATGGTGTTCACCACCTCTTGTCATCCGCTCTTAAGTATCTCCGACCTGCCGCTTTATGTGCCACGAAGAAGGGCCAATGGCTGAAACGTCGATAATAAAGGTTGTTGGGTTAGATCGTGTAAGTATAAATGTGCCGTAACCCTCCACCACCCGACACAGCCAATTAGTAAGGGATTTGTCACGTAAGCAAAACGCCAATTAGTTACTACTTCAGCCCACCGGTGTGTTGGAGAGTAAATCCAGAGATATTTACAATTTGAGTAGCATGCCGTTTCGCTGGTAATTACATACAGCATCATCGGCGCGATTTGCACATTTATGCTTTGACGAGCTAACCCAAAAAACCTTTATTATGAGTAATATTGGTCACGACAGCCCACTACGTGTTCAACTGGCTGAAACGTCTCACATTCTCTAGGGGGCGTCCATAAATGACGTCACGCGATTTTGGACGATTTTGACCCCCTCCTCGTCACACGGCGTCACAAAAAGTCAGACCCCCCCTCAAATATGACGTCACAAAGCTCTGCCCCGCCCCCCCTACCCAAAACCATATTTACATTTTAAAAATAAAACATGCTTCAAATCGCTTTAAACTATTGTCATTGTAGTGCGTATTCAATGTGGCGCTGCACTCTGATGTTGTAGGAGAAAATATTTATATAAAAAAAGTCTATTTAATTAAGTAGAACGTGTTGTCTATATTTATTTAAAGCTGCGCATTTTGATGTGACGTCACATGTCTCAACCACCCCACATCGTCACACATCGTCACAAATGTCTGACCCCCCCCCGACCCCCCGGTGCGTGACGTCATTTATGGACGGCCCCTTACGCGATCTAACCCAAAAAACCTTTATTTTGAGTAATATTGGTCACGAAAGCCCACGACGTGTTCAACTGGCTGAAACGTCTCACATTCTCAAGATGTGTTGTGCCCCCCCCTCCCCTTTATTGTCCACTTTGTTGTTGACTGAATTGTTTGATACTCTTTGGTTCTATTCGGTAAAGTCACGTAACAAACAACAAAAAATAAAAATAAAAAAATTCACGACGTTTTGGCCACAACACAAGTGGCCTTCATCAGGTGAAGGAACCTCATTTTATTTTTTTATTTTTTGTTGTTTGTTACGTGACTTTACCGAATAGAACCAAAGAGTATGGATCCTTGCAGTCACGAAAGCTTTAAATCTAGAATTGAATTGTTTGAATTTTTTTTTGCCGGGGGGGGGGGGGGGTGCGAGGGGCGGGGTTATTTGTCTCGTCAGTAAACATCATCCTTGAATTCGCCACGCGCATGAAAACGCAGTGCCCGACGAGGCGAATGTTGCCTCTTGCAGGGCGACCTCAGATCCGTGAAGTCGTTTTAAGGAGGCAGAATATTTTTTTTAAACGTTTAAAGCGTAACAAATCTCAATTCCGTCGAACAATATCGCATTGTAATGATTATTTGAGTAATGGCCACGTGAAAAAGGTGAAATGCGTTTAACTAACAATCCGCCGAGCGCCTTCACTCGAGCTGATTTCATCGCTCCATCTCCTCCAGTGGAACGTCCTCTCGGCCGCTTTGTATTCCTTTGGCAGCAACTCCGTCATCGTTTGCATTTCGCAATAGGAATAAATAACGATTTACAGCCGTTCGTTTATCCGCTAAATAACGATTTACAGCCGTTCGTTTATCCGCTAAATAACGATTTACAGCCGTTTGTTTATCCGCTAAATAACGATTTACAGCCGTTTGTTTATCCGCTAAATAACGATTTACAGCCGTTTGTTTATCCGCTAAATAACGATTTACAGCCGTTCGTTTATCTGCTAAATAAAGATTTACAGCCGTTCGTTCATCCGCTAAATAACGATTTACAGCCGTTCGTTTATCCGCTACTGGACGAATGCCTCACCCATGCCGCCGTGCCCGTTACGCGGCGTTGTTTGACCACACTTCACCACGCTGGCAAGCGCGGGTTGGCGAAGATGGAGGGACATAACGACAGGGCCTGGTTCCACCATTGATCTTCGCCACTGGCGGGAATCAAACTCGGTTCGTCGGGTTCGAAGTGCGGCGCGTTAAGGACCGGACCACCATAGCTGTGTTGGCATTAGTAACGTTGTAATAATGACGTTGCAGTCTTATATAAGGCTGAAGCCCTCACCCAGCAGTGGACTGATCGTGGCAAATTATGATGTGGCTGCGCATTCTTACAAATTGGGCCGCGTCTTGTCACAGTCATAAGGAGCTGCCATGATGACCGGGTGTGGTGAGGTATGGTCAAATGAATTCCCTGACCGACATATACGGTGTGGGGAGCCCTTCATCTGCCCATGGTTTGACAAAGCTCTCAAAATATTATTTGTTTAAGTGCCTGTGGAATCCTGCACGACGCCCAAATTTGGCACGTGCATAGCCACCGCTGCCGCACGCCCAGTGGCGGTGGCTACGCGCCTGGCTGCCTGTAACCCAGCACCGTGGGAGGCAGCAGCCAGGGTTGGTGGATCACCGCACGCAAATGCAGTGACACTCCCTCCCTTCCTGGCTTGCCAGGAGAAGGCGGCACAGCGGAAATGTGGACACCCACCTGTTCCGTTGGTACGGGATCGAGTGTTTCCCCCTCGCACGCGTGTGTTTTCTCCGGGTGCTCCGGTTTCCTCCCGCGTGTAAACGCTCGTTAATTGGCCGATATAACGCCTTCGTGTGTATAGGACCGCAGAGCCTGGGCAATTGTTGGTGGCGCTGGCTCACCGCGTGGCTCCTCACAGCTTTGAGTTCTCCTTTCTCTACGATAGCGAGCGAATACTGTGCGGCAGTGGAGCGTTATAAGTTGACATTAAGGCCATTTATTACACCGCAAGCATGAGCCATGATCACTCCATTGATGGTTGAAGGTCTCCCCAAGCCGATGTAACAATCCATGTGACACACGATCCGTTTTCGCCGCTCGAACTCCGTGGCAGATGTCCTCTCGGGCGAGTCCCCTCTTTTAGCTGCCACTCCGTCGTTAGTTTCGACCATCGGCACATCGTCCCTTCGAGCCACGGTGGCGAGATGTTAACTCCCTCGCCTGGTATGCAGGAGGTCGTGAGTACGATACCAACCCTGGCGCCTATATATTTGGAGTTTGCATGTCTCTCTCCCCGTGATCGCTTGGATTTTTCTCAGGGTCCTCCGGTTTTATTCCCTCCACATTTACAA